AAAGGAATCTGAAATACTTAAAAAAGAGATTGAAATACTTTTAAGAGAAAATAATATTTTAAAAGATGAGAAGGATTAATAAAAAAAATAATATATTAATGAAATATCTAAATTGAATGAAGAATTAAGTAAATATAAAAATATTTTATATGAATTGTAAAATGAAAAAAATTAACTTTAAAACTATATTTAATCATAAAAGGATTCATAAATAAATCAATATTGTTATATTTGTCTTCAAAAAGATGAATTATAAGGAAATAAAGATAAAATATAATATAAAACAAGTATTTGCTAAGAGAATATCTAATAAATTAATGATGAGAAAGGAAAGGCAAAGACTTCTAAATATTAGATTGATAATTTATTAAAGAATGAAGGAAAGTAAAAGTAATATAAAAAAATTTACCTTTAGATTAAACTAATTATCAGAATAAGAATTATAAAATTTGGTCTTTGAATATTCTAATGAATTATAAATAATATTAAAAGAAAATCAATAATTAAGTAAAGATTTAATATATTTTTAAGTATTGAATTCAAAAAAAGATTAAATTAGATTAGAGAGTTATCAAAAAGAACTAGAAATAACAAAAGTAATAATTAATAATATATTTAAAATAGAGAATTGTAAAACTTAGTGATTAAAGATGTAGTTCATTAGAACATTAAATAATTTAATTAGAGAAGGCTGTTTTAAATGGTAAATAGAATATTGCTGATATGATTAATGCAGTAATGGAATGTGGTGGATAAAAACTTTATGATCAAATGGAAAGATGTTTAGCATTTAGAAGAAGTTTAAAAATAGATTGAAATTTACACTAAAATTTATTAGAAATTTTTGATTGATTGAATAACATTTGTTATTAATTTATAATTAACTATTCCTACTTAAGACATAATCATAATTGTAAATCAATCTTCTTTTAGATGTGCATTATCAATTGGAAAATTCTTTTCCAAACTAGTTGCACTAACTGCATATTGTCCATTTCCATCAAGAATATTCTCTTAATTTTTATCTAATTAATAAATAAAAATAGAAAGCACAAATGCAATAGCTCCTAAAATTGATAACATAATTTATGAATAAAAATATGTTCCATAATATCTAAAAATAATTAATATTAATACGCTCTTAAAGCTCCAACAGCTAAAGGCACAAGAGTGAATGTAAAATTATATACAGCAATAACCAAAGCATATGCTTTACCTAAAGTATCAGGTCTTACCAAAAATACAATTCCAGTCCAAGCAGAAGCAAATGCTAAAGCCAATGAAGTTCCAAGTAAGATAAGAGATAAAAATGGAAAAACATACCATATCATCAAATGAGAAAAAGTACATAATAAAGTTGCAAATATTAGCTATATAAATTAAATTAAATTTACTAATGATGATCTTTAGCCATATTTATCTGTGTAACTACCAAATAATGGTGTAAAGAGTCCAGTTATGAACCACATAATTGAAACTACAAAACCTGCTTCAATCTCTGATTCTTCAGTCACTCCAAACCATCTCTCAGATAGTAATCCAACTGAAATATTTATGAATCCTAATACTGAACTATAAATTAATGCATAACACCAACTAACAAGCCAAAATATTTTTGGAAACATTTCAATAGCTTAAACTGCATCTGGTTAAGATACAATCTATCCATCTTCTCCATTTTAATTTGCTTATTAATTTTACTCTACTTCTATTATTTCTTCTTAAATATTATTATCATAATTTATATCAACTTCATTTATATTCTTCTCACCACTCTATCTAGGACTACGATTTTCTGATTTTAAAACAGAATATTTGACTTAATCATAATTCACTAATTCCAATAAATTTTTTTCTGCATTTTTATCTAACATCACAGTAATTATTCCACATATTAAACTAAATGAATTAAAAAATATTCCACTAGATACTGCTACTAATAAACCATATTCTAAAGCCAATTTAGGGCATAAATACATAGTTAATATAGACCCTAAAGTTGCAAAAAATTCATTCAAACCAACTGCAAAACCCTATAATAATTAATCAACAATACCAAAAAGTCATCTTTAAAATATGGAGAAATAAATGAGGTTTATGTAGGAACAACAGATTCTATGCCCCAACCTGATATGATTCTGCCTAAATACATAACCATGAAGCTTTTTAAGTGAACTCCATAGACAAATATTATTTGCCCCATCATTACTAAAATCACCATAAGAATTAACACTATTCTATCACCCTTTTAATCCCTAATTTCTGAATAAAAATTATATCATACTTCCGCTAATAAATGGAAGAAAAATATTAGCAAATGAATATAAACTATACAACCCTCCATAATATAACTCAAAGGCTTCAGGTGTCATTATATCAGCAAAATGTGCCTATAATGTGTTGTGCAAAGAAGTTGGAATATCAAAACAATAAAATGCTCCCAAAACAAGCCATATACAAAATCCAAGGACACCCCATCTATACTTATAGTGGCATTTGTTTAGAAATGGAAAGCATTATCTCATCAAGATTTTATTAAATATATCGTTTTTATTTTGTAATTTTTTCAAATTCACTATTCATAAAATTTTAATTACTAATTCTATTCATTCTTAATCTGTTGTATAAAACTATCCAGATTTTTATGATAAACTAAAATAGTATTAAATAATCAAATGTGAAAAATGATTTTATTTCCCATTTAAATAATAATAATAAAAAATATATAGTTTAAAATTAAATTCATAGTAATATTCTAATATATATATCTTTAAGATTATTGATATAATAATTAATGCTCAACTTTTTATCATTTTTCATTATTAATTATATTAAATTATTTAATATTTCATAAGATATTATAATTAACTACATTTCATTACAAATATAAATTAAAATACTTTTGAATCTTCTTAAGTTCATATATATTTATTTTTATAAATAAATTTAGAATTTAATTTTAAAATAATATCTAAGTTAAATGATAATCTATTTTTTAAATAATAGATCTAATAGAACAACTAGAATAAAATGAAATAATTAATTTGAAATTGAATATTTATAGCCTACTCTCAAATAATTCAATCCTTCTCAGCATTCTTCTATTCGAAATCTAAATGAATTGATTATTGATAATAAGTAAAGATTTAATTGTTATACTAATATAAATATTGCAAATTAGGTAGAAATATTAAAATAAACAGAAGTAAATAGATGACATTATAATGAAATATTTATTTTGAAACAATATTTAATTATAAATATATAAGAAAATAGCAATCCAACATATAATTATAAGAAATTGATAAGATGAATTAGATAGTAAAATTATTTATTAATATAGATTAAATAAAAATAATTAGATAAAATAATTCATTAATAGTAACTTTTGGAATATAAAAAAAGTAAATGAGTAATTTAAAACTTATAAAGCTTTTACAACAGAAATAAATGTAAAAAGATTTCAATTAAATATTGAAATATAATTGTTTAATACTTAATCTAAATTAAACATTCTATTAAATTATAATATTAATTCATATTAATTTATTCCATAGGTATTGACAAACTTTAACAGGTTCATTCTCAATAATTTTTTCACTTTCTACCCATGAATTTTTTGGAATTTAACCTAATTATTATATCAATATAATACCATTGTTTCTTCTTTTCCATAAAATATAATACATTTTATTTTTATTTTTTTTAATTTAAACAGCTCTACCAATTTTTTCAACTTTATCACCTTATTCAAAAGAACCATCATAATTAATCAAAGCACATTATTAGTATTGTTACATCATATCAGATTAGATAGATTATTATTTATCTTAAGAACCAGGTGATCTTTATAAATCATAATGATGAATAACATTTTTTGACATTTTTAATTCTTTAATGAGTCTCAATTAAGATTATAGAATAAGTCTAACATCATCTTTGAGAGTATTGATTTAATGTTAAAATTCGCTAATTTTGGTGTTAAAAGTAGATAGTTCACTTTTTTAAGGTGGGACTTCTACAAAATCTTCAATTTAAGGAGGTTAATCTAATGGATCAAAATAGAAGGTTTTTCCAAGCATTTGAACACTCATTTTATATTCTGATATCATATTTGAATCTGCTGGTACTTTGTCTGCTTTTTCCCATGTTGATTATGAGATTGGATAACCAGCCCATTTAACTAAAAAATATAGTTAATCATTTATAGTTCTGGAATCTAGAATGGCTTCCATAGAAAAGAGCTTTCTTTTAATTTTGTTCATTATTATTGTTAAAAATAATATTCTATAAACACACTTTTAATTTTTAAAAGCACACTAATTATAGTAATAAACTATGGCTTCAAATTTCTTAATGTTTAATTTATTTAATATATTTCATTTAAACATATTCATCAATTTCAAAAGACATATCATCTTATTTTACCTGATATCCTTCTATTGTGTCAGTTAATTTAAGTTATAAACTTTTGGTCTCTTCAGCAAAATAATTTATCCTTCGAGGCAAAGATGGTAATCTTTAATGAAAAGGTTTAGTAGTATTGACAGATTAAGATTTTTAACGAGGCTCAGTTTTAAATTTTTGTTCCTTTTTGTTAATTTAGTTAGGTTATTATTAATTGTTCATTTTTAATAATTTTTCATACTTTGACTTATTTTTAATTCTATAGTTTGAAGGAGATCCTTAACTTTAATTCACTGGTGATATTTGACTACAGTTTATAGGAGAAAATATTGCACCTTAATCGATTTTGTAATGATTTGAAGGCGATATTCTTCTTAAGTTTCGAGTTCCCCAACATGATTAACCAATTCTAGTGGGGATGACAATTATATTTATTTTTTTCTTACTTTCCTTTTCTATTTCTTTAAGAATTAAATCCTTGATAATTTATTTTATGCTTTTTGGTTGCCTTTTAAACGGTGATTGCATATTAATTAATAAATATATAATAACATAAAGAAATTTATTTATTTATAAAACTAATTATAAATAAAATGAACCAAGGAAATTCTTCATAATATTAAGTAAATGATTATTATAACCCATTGGAAGGCTAATTAAATTATAAAAATTATTACAGAATAAAGGTTTTATTTTTTTACAATTTTAGTTATATTGGGAATTTTGCAATTTTAGTCACATTGGGAATTATACTAACCCATCTATTCACTTAACACAGGAAAGATACAGTTTTAACATTTTTATGATATATCAATATGTTTTAGAAAAAGGTATAATATCATATATTGCAATTTGGTTTTACAATTTTAAACAAAATTTCTATTTTGAATTTTAAAAGCTATATTATACAATAACAGAAATAAAGTTTTTTTTTCATTCTAATAATCTAAAAATTCTTATATTATAAGTACAATAGTTAATAATTTTCATTTTTTTCATAATATTTAATTCAAATTAATTATGTAGTTTAGAGTAATCAATCAATATTAAATTTAATATTTTTAATAAGTTATCATTCACAAAAGTGATTGAATTGAATTAGGAGTAATTTAATAAATATTTAACAATGATTCATTAATAAATATTTCATTATATTATAAAAAAACTTTAATAAATTTCAATTAAATAAATTTTATTATAATGATTGTTTATATTTCAAACCAATGTAATGGGAAATTAAATGATATAAATTATTAAATAAATAACTTTAAACTATTTAAAAATTTGGAGGATATCAAATATTAGAAGTTGAAAATACTGTAATTATAGTTTATGTTGTATTTTTTTATGATAGAGGAAGAATCTTAGTATAAGGAAACAAAAAAGGTTTTTTTTCTATTTAAAATAACTGATCTAAGAGTTTGAAACTCTAATCTATAAACTAAGGTTAATTCATTTATATCTGCTTTGTAGGGTCTTTTAAAATAATTATTAATATTATAATTTTATACCTATTTGCCTTTAATTTTTTAATTTTTTAGTCAAATTCATTAATAATAATTGAACATATATATCAATTGTAATTAATCATTTATATTTCATATTCTATTAAAATTTTTTACTTTATTTTAACGATGACATACTTTGTCTTAGAATATTAAAATGTAGAGTTTAAATTATTTTATAAATATTGAACTTTTTTAACTAACGTGATAGGTTCATAATAGTAGTAAGATGATTAGGATCTTTAAATCCAAAATTTCTACTGTACAAATAATATGAAAGAGATATTCAAATAATAAGTTACTATTAGAATATTTAATGAAACAGTATCAAGTAAAACAAAAGAAATTATTTAATCAAAACTTCAATAATCCGAATCTATAGGAACCCTTATGCATGATTTAAGTTATTATTTTTTTGGAGATTCCTCAAGTGTCGGATTAAGATTATATATTTCTTTTGTCATTTTAACTTATGTTTTAAGCCTATCTCTGAATCGATAGATATCTTCATCTTGATATCTAAGAAAAATTGTAATTGTGGGTGCAAATTTGACTTATTTCTAAATTTTTTTATTTTTGAAGGAGTCAGTGCTTTCAAGATCAAATACTGAATATAGTTTATCTTCAATAAAGTCTTATATTTTTATAGGTGTACTAAAGTTTAATTTAGGTCCTTTGATTTGATTCATTGAATTTTGATAAATATGATTTAGAAAAAATATATAATTAATGAAAATATATTAGTAATCTTAAAGCATTGTAAATAATTAAATGATGATTCACACAAAGTTAAACATAAATATTTTTAGAGCTATTTTACAATTTTGCATTAAAAGATCAAAAAAATACTTTATTTACAAATTAAGTAAATTTCTAACTTGAAAATGAATATATTATTGAATTTTATTAGTTTAATTTTATATTGACTAAGATTTACTAAATTTTACTATTATTATTCATCAATTTAGATACAATATTGATAATTAATAGTTTTTATTAATATAGATATTTGATATGTATCAAAATTGTTATTATTAATCGATTCAGTATACTAATTAGCACTCGGGAATTTTCACTTTTTACAGGATAATTGTTTTTATCTATTTTCATGTTTATTATATTTCACTTAAATACACTATGTTTCTTAATAAAATTTAGACAATTAAAATTAATAAATGACATCCTTTTAATTTAATATCAAATATTCTAAACAAATTAAATTTTCATACATTCTAAAACCCAAATATATTCTCAAATATTGTAAAATTAATTGATATCTAAATATTTGTATGTTGGCCCATAAAATACATGAAAAAATTATGTTTTTTAATATTATTTTAAGTAAAAAATTAAATTGTTTATGAACTATCCAAGGCTTATATATATTAAGAAAGATTCCAAATATATATCATTACCAACAAATCAAACTTAATTAAACAACTTTTAGTTCAATTGTCTAAGACCTAAAATTGTCTACTATGCTAAAATTTGACATTTATGGAAATGTATGTATGTAAGATTCATAATTTAAGGTACTCTATGAATTCAAAGATCAAAATAAGAATATATATGTTTTTTACTGAAAAGATGAAGATGAGAAATATTAAAGTGAAAATATATATTAAATTATGATTTGTAATAATTAATGCAAAAGATTTATTCGTCCATTTTTCATCATTTTCACAAAAAGGTTGTTCTATATTGAAAGGATAAGTTCATATTAACAAATATGAAAAGTAAATATTGGCAAAATTAAATGACTAATTTTTAAGAGAATTTGAAGTAAAAAAATAAAAGGATGAATTAGTCTAATAAATGAATTAATAGTAAAAGGAAATGTAGAGAGTTTAGTTGTAGATTATGTTCAATGAAGATAATATAATAAAGATAGACTTAAATACTTAAATAATAAATATTTTTATATAATTATTATGATGTGATTCAGCTAAAAAAAAACCGATTATTATTTTATTGGATTTTAAGAATTAGAATATGATGGGAAGGCCAAAAAAATTAATTATAATTTTAAGAGAAAAAGACTCTAGATAAATAAGAATTATAATGAAAGAAATTTTAGTTGGTATAAATAAAATGATAATATGAAGATGATGAAAAATAAAAAGTTGGATTTCATCCAAATTATTAGAGGTAAAGAGTTTTAAAATATTTATTTAGGATATGAAACCATATACATTAAATATGAATTTTTAATCTATCTAACTTAATAGTTTAAATATGTAAATAATATGTTTTATTATTATTTTTACATATCTCTAGAAATATTTTTGATGTATATAAAAATTATTATCAAATATATATTATTTTAATGGGAAATTGTTAGGCAACATGTTGCAACAAAGAAGGAGAGATTGTTGTGAAAGAAAATTATAAAAGTGATTTTGAAATGGATGATAATAGTGATGTTGTTAATTCTATTGTTTCCATAAAGACAACAAATCAATAGAGAGAAAGGGATAAATTTAAAATAGACCTTGAATAAAGTAAAAGGGAAGGAACCCAATTTTATTGCAATACTCGAACAAAGTTTCCAGCTGTTTAAATTGATAAAGATACTCTATATGAAGGAGAATGGTTGTTAGGCAAACGTGATGGAATTGGAAGGGTAGTTTGGTCTGATGGCTCTTGTTATGAAGGGGAATGGAAAGATGATAAGAGTTCTGGAATAGGTAAATTAATTCATGCTGATGGAGATATTTATGAAGGAGAATTTAATAATGATAAGGCAAATGGAAAAGGTGTATATACACATGTAAATGGAGCTAGATATGAAGGAGATGTATTTTGTATTTTGATTTAAATAGTGGCTAGATGCTTAATAACATGGTTAAGGTGTTGAAGTTTGGCCTGATGGATCTAAGTATGAAGGAACTTATGCAAATGGGAAAAAAAATGGATATGGAATCTTATATTTTGCTGATGGTTCAAAATATGAAGGCAATTTTGTGGATAATGAAATTGATGGATATGGAACTTATGAATGGCCAGATCATAGAATATATATTGGAGAATGGAAAAACAATAAAATGAATGGTCATGGGAAGTTGATGTGGAATGATGGCAGAAAATTTGAAGGGGTATAAGCAGTCACACTTATGAGAGGAATATGTAAATGATCTCAAGCATGGACCTGGAATTTTTGAATGGGCTGATGGAAGGAAATATGAGGGATAGTGGATTGATGGTTCTTAATAAGGAATTGGCATATATCATTTAGGAAATGGTATCTAAAGATATGGTATATGGAAAAATGGAACTAGGTAGAGATGGTTGACAGAAGAAGAGATAGAACAATTTTTAAAGAATAAACAATGATTATTATTACCTTATTATCAATTTTATATATACTTTAAATAGATATTAAAGTCTATTTCATTTGATAAAATTCTTATTTAAGTCATAATCTATTATATCTATTTCTCTCATAATCTTAATTCTATTTGTCAATATCAATATAATCCAATAGGAATATGAGTATTTTTTTGATTTCTTAGCTTTAAAATAAATAACAATCTAATTAAATTGTAATTCCTTTTCTTTATAGACATACTTAATTTTAGAAAAAGAACTTTACCTATCTTTTTTTTATTATAATTTTTATAAATATTCAAGAAATATATTAGAAAATTCAATATATGGCCTTTTATAAATTTAATTTAACATTAGAAAAAAATTCATTTAATATTATTAGGAAGAAATAAGAAATAGAAAATTAGTTGATCATCAAAGTAAGAATTATTAAATTATAAAATATATTTTTATTTTTTCATTTTAAGGTATAAAATAACCAATAAAAATAAGTTATGCTGATAATTATACAAAAATTATTCTAAAATGTTAAAATTAACAATTGTTTACTAATCTTATGAAAATATTGTTATCTATAAAAAAGTGAAATATAGACAAGGATGATTAATATTTAGAGTATCATGTAAGAATGTAATTAAATAATATATCATAAATGTCATCTATAACAATTCCAATGATAACATAAGCTCATCGTCTTTAAAAGGACAGTACCTTAAATTTTAAGACAAAGTTGTAGAGATCCCTTAGATTATCTGAGAAATATCATTGCAATATTCATTTGAAGAGAGAAGATTAATAACAAATCAGAGTATTTAAGATGAGAGGTGCATTCAATTCTTTTATGAGTTTAAGTCAAGAACAGAAAACAAAAGGCTTAGTTACAGTAAGTGATGGTAATTTTGCAGAGGCATTTGCTTTCTTTTGCAATCATTTCAAAATTAAAGGTACATCAATTATATTAAAAGGTAGGAACTGTTTTTTTGCCAGAAGTATGTTTTCAATGGAAAATAGAAATAATTTAGAAGTATGGGAAGGATTATGTTGAAATAAGAAGTGTTGGAGAATCATTTGATGAAGCTGAAGCTGCAGCTTAAGAATATATAAAATAGTATGATAAAATAATGATACATCCATGTGATAATGTTAAAGCAATCATAGGAAATGCAACAATTGTATTATATAATTAATTATTTTAAAGGGCATAGAAATAATAGAAGATTTTCCAGGAGAGGTTGATTATGTTTTTGTACCAGTTGGAGCAGGAGCATTGGCAGCTGGAATAGCAACTTACTTTAAAGCACTGTCTCCAAATACAAAAATAATTGGTGTTTAACCTGATGGAGCAGCATCTATGAAAGCATCTTTTGATGCTAATAAAATTGTGACAATAGATAGTATGTCTAGATTTTGTGATGGATCTGCTGTAAAAACAGTTCCTAAAATAACATTTGATATTTGTTAACATAATTTAGATGGTTTAGCAGTAGTACCTGAAGGAAAAGTAAGTTCAACCATTCTTGAATTATATAATTAAGGAATAGCAGTAGAACCAGCAGGAGTAATATTATTATAAATAACTTTTAGGCATTAGCAGTGTCTGTTTTAGATTAATATGCATCAGAAATAAAAGATAAAAATGTTGTCTGTTTAATATCAGGAGGAACAGTGGATCTTTCAAGATTTGATGAATTTAAAGAGCATTCTTAATTATTTGAAGGATTGAAATACTTCTTTTTGATTTAAATTCCATTCAGACCTGGTATTCTTAAGAGCTTTGTTAGTTTGTAATTATAAATAACTAATATTAGATGTTTAGGACCAGATGATGAAATTAGTCATATTCAATTTTAGAAAAAAGCTAATAGAGAAAGGGGACCATGTTTGGTAGCAATAGAAGTAGCTAAAAAGGAGAATATAAAAAAGGTTATGGAGAACATGACTAAAATGCATTTATAATATGAAGTTGTAAATGATTCAAAAGAGTTGTTTGATTTATTGGTTTGATAAATTATAATATTAACGTATATAAAATATGTCTGTTATATTCGATTAGTTGGATGTATGCTTATTAATAAATACTTTAGAATATCTAATCACTTAGATTTAGATTTACTTAAGCAATCAAGTTAGGAGTCTCTCTATATTACATTGAAAATTGTACATTAAAAAGACTTGTAGTTACTGATAATTAAATTGCATCATATAATGACTCTGAGGTTATAAATGTTTTATAAAACGTATCACAGATATGTTCTGATAGTAAAACTTTGTTTTGTTTACAAAGTATAAAATAATCTTAATTTTTAAGGTAATGGTGATCTATATTAAATTGACTAACAACCAAAATTATTAGTCTCTGGAAAGAACTACATGAGCATTACACCAACAACTGCTATTGATCATTCTGGTAGAGGATTCTTTTGGAAAAATAATAAACCTATCTATTCTCATTGTAAACATATAAGTACATATCAGGACAAAATGACATTGATTACAAGTATAATTTTAATTGATTAATTAAGTTGGTGGAAAGATTTTTAATATTGAGAATGGTACTCAAATTCCAATTTAATAATTAAATGGTTTAGGAGTTAATGGATATTTTAAGAAATCATTATTATTTTAATTTGGTGGTATTGCTATTACAGAAAATGGTGATGTTTATTGTTATAATACTAAAATGATTAAACTAAAAACTACAAATCTTGAGGATATTTAAGCAAGCAATAGATTTATTTTTGGAATTTAAGGAAAATATATTTTGTAATGGAATTTAGAAGATTTTCAAAATCATTAATTTTTTGTTAATTAGACTTTATTTAAAAAAATGAATTATGGTCATGAAATATAAATTAATTGTAAAAAGAAAGAATTTTAAGAGGTTAAATTTATATTTTCAGATTAATTCTCTTAATTTTGTTGTGCATCTATTCAATCAATATCTAAGTCAAATTAGAATGAATAATCTATATCTGTAATAGAAAGGACTTTTTGTAGAAGTACTGTTTAAAACTTAAAATAATAATTATTTGATTAATGGGATCCACCTTCTAAAAAGAAAGCTTAAGAAGTCAGATAAAGCAAATATCTTAGAGGAGAAAGAACAGAAAGATCAGAAACAAGTAATAGATAAACAGATAGAATTGATAGAAAAGATGATGTTTCTACATTATCATAAGAATAAAGATAGAGATAATAAAATAATAATATTCTTGATGCTTTATTTGATAAAACTAATAAATAGGATAATATAGTTTAATAATAAGTAGAAAAACAAAAAGAAATATAAATTAATCCAAATTTCAATTTCAAAAATAGTTTATAAAAAAAATCTGAAATCTTTGCACCTCTAGAAATTTCAAAATTAAATTTAAATGATAAAACATAACAAGGAGATACTTAAACAATTAACAATTAAACTAATTAACAAAATTAACCATAATAATTGTAAATATCATAATAACAATAATAAAAGTCCGAACCATAATTAGTTTAATAATAATAATAATAATAAATAGATATATAAGAAAATAAGAAAAATATTAAGACTGAATAATAATAAAAATTATTAAATGAATAGAAAATAGAATAATTAGAATAAAAATAAAAATTAGAGTAAGAATAACAATAAATCTATTAATAAAAAATGAAACAAGAATAGCAATACAAATAGGAATAATAATTGAAATAATAATAAAAATTAGAATAATAATAAAAACTAGAGTAATAATAATTAGAATAATAATAATAAAAATTAGAATAATAATAATAATAATAATAAAAATTAGAATAATAATAAAGACTGGAATAATAATAAAGACTAGAATAACAATAAAAATTAGAATAACAATAAAAATTAGAATAACAATAAAGACTAGAATAATAATAAAAATTAGAATAATAATAAAAATTAGAAAAATAATAAAAAGCTGAGGAATAATAAAAATTAAAATAATAGTAATAATTAAATTCTATTAATATGCCAAAATAATGTTCAGAGGAAATAAAATAACCTTCAAAATTATTAGAATAATATAAAAAATAATTTGATTAAATCTTGAAATCAAGTTATGAATAAATCATAGATTAATCTACTGAGCATTCAAAAGAAACAGAAGATCTTTCAACCATCAAACATATTAATCAAGAAAATATTTATTTCTAATAAAATACTATAAGTCAAAAATTATAATCAATTAGAGAAATTTATGATCAACCAAAATTTAAAACATAAAATAACAGCTTGTATACATTAGATGAGGAAAATTCAATTGAATAAAGTATGTGTTAAGAGGAAGATGATAAAGGGAGATTTTAATTGAAAAGATAAGCATTTTTAATTTAAGATATCTTTAATAATAAGGTTGATACTTAATTAGGATAAAATAAATAAGAATCTTTAAAACAATAATTTTTATCCAAAGAATTTTAATCCCCTACATTATCTTAAGATAATTCAATATAATTCACATAAATTTCTGTAGCAGAATTACAATTACCTCCTATTTAATCTTCATTAAATACTTTCTTTAGTAAATTGTAATTAAAACCAGAAAAATCCATAGATTAAGTTCTCAAATCATAAACATAAAAAGAATAGATATCTGAAGATATTCCATAATTGAATTCAACTGAATAAACATCTCAAATGGAGATTAAATAAACAAAAATAATAAAGTCATTCTTAAAGCCAGAATAATATTAAAAATAAAAGAATGCTGTAGAAATAATGGATTAATAATCAGCTATTGATTATTAAAATAACAGTGACTTTATTGATTAATAATAAGATAGTTTTATGTAGATTTTACAAACAGAAAAAAAATAATAAGAAAACAATAAAATTTAACATATTTTATCAATTTTTGATTAAATTCAAATATAACCAAAAAGAAAAAGTCCTCCTAAAATGAATTTATTCAAAAAACAAGACTAAGAAAATAAAATAAAAAAAATTGATATAATATCTGATTCAGATGGATAATTAGATGAGAATTTAACTGAAATAAAAAATATACTTAAAGAGAAAAATGATCAAATAATAGAAAAAAAATAATCACCTAAAAAAACTAATACAAAATTGCATAAAACTTTAGTTACATTTTCTGAAGATATTTCATAAGTAGAGGTAGAAGATAGAGTTATGCAAATTGTTAAAGTAGACTAAAATTTATAAACTATATATCCTAAGCATTCTCCTATAAAATCTAAATCTCCATTAAAAGATAATAATATTTCATCTAGCAAAAATCATTCACTCTAATTAAGTGAATAGAAAATATTGACTAAGATTAGTTTAAATGCAGATGTCAAATAACCTAATTTTGACACTAAAATTTCATCTATTCAACCTGAAAAAAAATAAACATCATTACATGTAAGAGTTCAAACCTTAAATTGTAATGCTATTAGACCAGAAAAAATATTTACTCCATTAAGAAGCAGGAGAAATAGTACTGCAAGAGGTTCAAGTGTTGAAACTACTAGATTTAAATAATTGTAGATTGAAACTTAAATAGTTGTTCCTGATGAATAGAATTAAACTCCTTAAATAAATAATTTTGAAGCATTGGATTTAAGTAATGCCATGTATCATATTAATCAAACATTAATTGAGGACTCTGCTAAGCATACACCAGTTGCTTAAGTTCATAATGTTCTTAATATAAATTAGTAATCCAATTAAAAAATTCTTAAGGAACCTCAATTAATTAGAGTTTCTTCAACCTCTTAAATACCACCTTCTCTAAGAACTAATAGTGTAGGACCAATTAATAAAAAAACAGAAGTATCTCCTATGAAGGTTTAAAAATAAGTAAAAAATGTCTCATCTTCTAAGAGTGTAAATGATGAAACTATCAAATTAAAATAACGATAATAAGATATCATTTTAAGGAAATTATTCTTTAGATTAGATATCCATGTTAAACTTATGAAATTGGAATTTATGTTTAATCTGAAGCAGAAAACTAGAAAATGATGAATTTGTTATTATTATTTTATTACTAATTGAAAAATAAAACAGATACTGTATTTATAAATTTAGTTAAGAGATACAAAATTTCTTACTCTTATAATAAATTTCTTCAAAATAAGTATTCTTAAATTATTTAGTCTTAAAAATTGAAATTTTATTTAAGTTTCAAAAACCTTCTCAGTACAATTTTATGTCTTTATTTCTTTTGTTATAATTCTTTCTTAAGATAGTAATTATCATTAAAAATGAATGATTTCTATATGATTAGAATCATATAAAAGATAATTTCAATCAAACAATTTATCTTTATGAATCCTCTTTATCATAAAAAAATTGGATTTATTTGTTTATTTTTTAATTATTAATAAGTATATAAATATCAATTATAATTAAATGTCAGACGTAGATATTGAGGACACTATAAACAGAATAAAAAATCATAAATCAGTTTAAGGCATAGTGATTGTAAATCATGAAGGGACAATTACAAGGACAACTTATTTGAATGAGAAAAAGGAAGAAGGTAACTGTTATATTTGATTGTTTATTAAGGTGATAATATAGCCAAATCTATACCGATTTTAGCTTAGAAAGCTAGATCTTTAGTACGTGACTTAGACCCAACAAATGATTTAGCATTTTTAAGAATAAAATCAAAGTAAAATGAGATTCTAATTGCACCTGATAAAGACCTTTTATTGATTGTTATTTAAGGACCTAAAAAATAAGGAGAAGATGATTAATGATTAAATATATATATTAATATCATTTAAATAGGTCTGGCTAAACTAATAAAATATTAAACAATAATACATAATTTCATTATTATTCTATCTGTGACATATTAATCACCATTGCTTTTAGTTTTAACAGCACTAAATCTTCCTTTAGAAGAAATTGAAAGTTTTTCCTTTTATTATGGAATAATGTAAGCATTTTCTTCTTTTTGAGCAATATCTACTTTTTCTCTAAAATGATTTAATGTAAGATGAGAAGTATGTAAATCATTTCTAGTCACTTTAGATTGACTTTTTGATTTAACAAAAGTTCTAGACTCATACATAACTTCACATTCCTTGTGTTCAGATTAATATTATTGGAATTGATGAATACTTTATATTTCTTTATCTTCCATGGGAACAATATTTCTAATTTCAGAGGGTTCTCTAGAATTGTTATTACAAAAAGGTAGAGTTTTAGGTAATAATTAAGATTTAATTCTGCTCCTTCTAAGTAATGTGAGATTTGGTGCTTAGATTTCTTCTTTATTTATCACTTTGACACTATTGATATGATTAGTAAAATTTCTTTGTTTTGTGCTTTTTCGATGTTCAAGTACTTTAATTTTCTTTAAAGTTTATACAAAATTAAAATCATTTAGAGTTCCTGTTATATGTTTAATAGGTTTATCTATTTAATATTTATTATTAAAGGATTGTTATTTTACTAATTCTATTGCACTTTCAATAGTAGCATCAGATCTCTACCTTATATTATTATTATAAAAAGGTTTTTGTAAAGTACGAGGTAATTATGCATAACCATCAAATTTATCTGGTTGAGGTATATAAAATGGAGGAAATTAAGATAATGATTCTATGCTGCATGGATAATGACATGGATCTGGTTATTGAATTCTACTTTTGAATCCTTGTTTGCCAGTATAATCTAAACTAAATTTTTTAATAAAATCCCCTGTTTTTGTAATCTATTATGTAGCACCATTCACATTATTTATAAGAAAAAACTTGCCAGTCTCGTAATCTTTACTATAAATAGAATTACTAATATATACCGAATCAGATGGGAAGCCATTTACAAAAAATTAAAATATAAAAATCAATATTCACTATTGCGTTCAGATACATAATCTCTTTTAAATACAGAATAGGCTAAATCACTATTAACTTCTAAAAAGTCTTTCTTAGTCTATAATATCTCTTATTCTTTTTTCTCTTTATCCTATTTAATCTTCCTTTAATTTTCAGATAAAAAGTCATTCTTGTCAGTTACAATTTGAATTGCAGGTGACCTTATTTATTAGGATGTCTCCTCTAAAGATTCTAATTATTATTCTCTTTTCTTAAGAGTTTCAACAAAATCAACCAAACGGTCCTTCTCTTCTTTACCTTTCCCATAGTATGTACACATAATTACTTCGATATCCTCTCTTACTCTTTTTATTTTCTCTAAATCCATTCTTTCTTTTATCATTTATATTTCTCTAATCTTATCTTAAAGTTTATTTAATTCAAGTGAACTTTTACTAATAGCCAATCCTTAATCACTAAATGGTAAATTTTTAGCATGACCCAAATAATGTTTTAAACCCAAAGATTCAGCTTATTCTTTTGGTATCAAATATTTAGTCTTCTTTATCATATTATCTTTATCATTCACTTAAACCTTTATAATAGTAGGCAATTAAAATCCAGTCTATTAATGTTATTATAGTGATCTAGTTGTCTTTCCTCTTTTCAAAAAGTATTTATCATCTTGAACACTAGTCAATGTAAATTCTTAAAAGAATTTAAGTTAATCTGTATCAAATTATTTAAGTTTATCAAAAAATTTACTATGAAATCTCATTTAAATCTTAGCTTCTTTCTAGATATAATCTTTAAATTAATGAATCGATTACTTTAACTCATAAATTTGGAAACTTCTGCTTCAATTTATTAAGGAGTTAGTATTACTCTCTTATTTTTTAATTATTAATTTCTTAATGAATCTATTTTATTATAAACATGAAAACAAAATTGGCAAACTGTTTCCTATTTATAAAAATTGGATATCTTTAAATGTTTAAAAAAAGAATTATTTGTAATATCTCCCAATGAATAATCTATATATATATATATATTACATATCCTTAATTTGAATATCAATTATTCAGTTGGTGGTTTATTAAGATATGGTTCTAACATTTTTATTGTTTTAAATCTTTCAATCATATCTAGAAATATAGATTTATATGTAATTTTCTTATGTGTTTCTTTCTCTCCTGCCATAATAAATAAAGAAAATTATTCATCAAATTCATCATAAAAAATATTATTGGTTGCATAATGACAATATAAACCAGCACACTTATCAAAATTATGAACTTATTGTTTAACAGGATATAAGGTAGCTATTTCAACAGGTTCTCCATCAGAATGAAATTATATATTATCTAACCCTGTTAAATATATTTATAAATCTCCTTCAGTCATAAAAAACTCTACTTATAATAATTATATCGATCTTTATAGTCTCCCTTCTAAAAATCTAACCAAACTAAAAGCAAATTGTTCACATTTAGTATTCTATTATGCTGCCAATGATTTATCATATTCTTCCTTTAGCTAAACAGGTTTCTTTACTATATTCTCTTATTTAGAGAATTCCTCCTTTTATAAGGGAATTTATGCAAATCTCTTTCTATTAACTCTAAATTTAGGTTGATTATCAATTTGATCTTTCAAAACTGTTACTTAAAATATATGTTTAGGTGATTTTGTTACTCCACAACCAATAATCTTAGTCCAATTTGTAATAATTTCTGATTTCTCATTAGGATTTTTAAAAAGTTCATTAGCTACTTCTAATGAAACTGCCCTATATATACGTCCTATTAAAATAGATGAATTGATAATACCTTATTATAATTTCTATTCAAAATGGAATATGTAGCATTTGCAAGTAGTTTTTGATTCCTCACATAAACATGGGTTTTGTAATTAGACTTAATCCAAGTTATCAGATTAAATAAACTCATTTAATCTATTTACATTCTTAGCTCTACAATATATACTAAAAACTCTCCATTTTAACCATTCATCATCATGTGTTTTAATACAATGCTATTGAAATTTAATATAAGAATTACCTTATCATCCATATAGAACCATTATTTAGGTTCTCCTTATTTCAAGATAATTGTATCAAATATTTTAAATCCAACCGAGTACATTGTTTCAAAGATAGAAGAATACTAATAATAGAATATTATTGATATACTGGCTGTAACATTTAAATTAGCCACGGTGTGAAATCTTCTTATTACATTTTTTTTAATATGTAAATTAATAAACAAAGTATAAGACACATTATTTACGGATCAACATCATATCCTCGTCCTAGAGCTACTCGTTTCTTAGAATCGTAACTTACTGCTAGTTTGTTATTACAGAAATTACTGTACTTCAATGCATATTTCTCCTTATTATTCTTGTATATCACTTTAGGTATTAATATTCAGAGAGTATAATTTATGGTTTAATCACATTTAGCTTTGGATAGTAAAATCTAATTTAATGGATACATTGAATTTAGTATTATTGTTAATTTGGGCTGTACTTGAAGGGTTTCGTTTATCAAATGGATATAGCGGGAATATTAAGGAATAGGTATTAACTATTAATAAACTTAAGTTTCCAGAATTATTTTCATTTGTCCTCATCACCATTGTATCTCTTGCTCTTGAAGTGATGCAATATGTTATTCCAACTTTAAATTATCCAATGTAATTAGGACTAGTAATAATTCTAACAGTTTTGTACTTTTGTGAAATCATGATTGCTTTATCATCTCTATGCACTTAAAATAAATCATAATTGGCATTAATGAGTTTGAGAGTTCCTAAATCTGAAAATGATTATTAAATTAAGAAACGTATTGAAGTAATATGGATGTGTGAACATCTAGGATTTGAGGATTAAATAAGAGGAGAAATAACGTTTAATGGAACAAGAGTAAGAAAGGTTAACCTATCCAAATAATTATTGAAATATTAATTCAAAGTTTTTAATATAAACTCATTTTTTTAATTAACATTCTTTCTTTATCACTTTATTAATCTATAATTTACTTTTATTCAAGCTAATTATATTCAAAACTAAATAATACCAATTTCTTTTAATAATCTCTATTATTTTGATCAATATTTTATTATAACTATTAAATTTTTTATTTAAATGATATTTCCATAGAAGAATATTCCTCCTTTAAAGCAGCTTCATATGATTATTCAAACTCTTCTGTAGTTTTATATTTAGCCACAAATCTTTTATATAAATCATCCTATATTATAAATATGTTATCTCACTTTCTGACTCTTCATATTTTCAACTTTTTTATTTAATTCTATAATTTCATTACTTGTATTTGTAAATTTTTATTGTACTTCACTTAATTTCAATCCAAGCTATAGATTTTCCTATTTATTTATTCAAAAGTTGTTTACATCTCTAAGCATAGTAACAAGATTCTAATAACTATCTTTCACTTCATCAATTATTTTATTATAATAGGAAGTAGGATTAGGAGGTAATTCAACTGAATAATTACTCAATTAACTTTGAGTTAAATTAGTTGAATTTGATATTTAATCTTATAATTTTTTGCATTGATTTTATAATGATTTAATATCACTCAATAGTTTAATATTTTCATCTTTTAAATCATACAATTTTTTTTGTAAAATACTTTCACCATTTGATTGATTCATATCTCCTTTTTTCTAAACTAAATATTCAATAATTTCTAAATTCAAAAGACTCATTAAAAACCTATTTGGTAATATTCCTTAAGATGCTATTTTTTAGAAGTAATTTGATTAGAAATTAGTAAAACATTATTCATATTATAAATAATGTATACATTAAAGTTCTGTTATTTTATTGACATAAAAGTCAAAATTTTATATCATATTGTACAATTTAACAACAGTTTCATTTGCATCAGAACAATTACAAATTTGAATAACTCTTTAAGGATCCAAACATTTATCATTCATTTTAATATTTGAAATCCATTGTTTTATTTTTTAAGTGTGATTTTAACTCAATCTAGATTATTGAATACCCAATTTATTCAATTTTTAAATTTCATCTTCAATATTTAATAGATCCATCTTAAGTGAAGTTTAATATGCTTATTCACTCATTTCAAATGGAATTATACTCACTATTTATTCTTAATAAGCACTTTATGGACGAAAAGAATGAGATGATCTTAATTTAAGTGTCTTAAAACCTGTTCCAGTTTTATTCATTTATAACATAAAATTAAAATGATAAAAAAATATTTTAGCTTTGATTTTCAGGTTATTGGAAAAGTACAAGGTAATTATGATCATCAATTAAAATAGGAGTATTCTTTAGAAAATTTACAAAAGAACAAGGAACTAGTTTAGGATTAGTAGGATGGGTTGAAAATTAAAAAGATGGATCAGTCAAAGGAGTTGCTTAAGGTGATCCAAAAAAGTGTGAATAAATGTAAAATAATACTAGATTCTTAATTATTTTAGGATTCATTGGTTATCAAATGTTGGATCTCCAAAAAGCAAGTATTTGAATTTAATTTTAATTTTAGAATTTAGAAGATGATCAAAACAAATGAAAGGGAAATAGATAAATTATAATATAAAGATTTCTCAGTAAGAGATGATAAAAAATAGAAGTGATTATATAATATAAATATTTATACCATAAGCAATTACATAAAGTTTTTAAATTAAATAAATTATCAGGGATATAATAGTATTTATTCATTGTAAATCTAATTATTGTAATTAAGTTTTTGATAATATTAAAGTTAATTTATTTATTTTAATATCTTTAGACTATTTGAAATGCTATTTCATAAAAGTGTTGATAATCTTAAATAATTTAATTTGGAATGAGATAAATTATTACAATTATTCCTTAATCTTGTGATTTTAAATATTTATTTTATTATTATTTATCATTATTTCATAGCAAGACCGGCTTCAGGAATGAAGACTTCTAAGATACTCTTCAATTCAGCATCATCTTATTTGCTTAATTCACCAGTACTATAGTTATTATTATAATAAATACCTTCTAATTCTTTCTAACATAGCTGGGAAATTAGTTCTGAGATGAGTGAGGAATTTCTCTTCGAATTTTGCAATTTCTGAAGTTTATACTTTATCCAAAAATCCTCTGACACCAGCATAAATAACACAAACTTATTCTTCAGCACACATTGGTACCTAAAATTGTATTCATATTAAAATTTACGTATTATTTTTATTTAAGTAATTCAGTTAATTAGGCACCTCTATTTAATAATTATTATGTGGCTGCATCTAAATCTGAACCAAATTGAGCAAATGCAGCTACTTCTCTGTATTAAGCCAATTCTAACTTAAGTCTACCAGCAACTGTCTTCATTGCTTTAATTTAAGCAGCTGAACCGACTCTTGACACAGACAAACCGACATTGATAGCTGGTCTAATACCCTAAATTTATATTATATTAAAAATTTACCTTGAAGAACAATTCTGTTTCTAAGAAAATTTATCCATCTGTAATAGAAATAACATTTGTTGGAATATAAGCTGAGACATCACCAGCTTATGTTTCAATAACTGGTAAGGCAGTTAAAGATCCATTTCCATTTTCAGCATTAAGTTTAGCTGCTCTTTCCAACAATCTGGAATGCAAATAAAAGACATCACCTGGATAGGCTTCTCTGCCTGGTGGTCTTCTCAATAATAATGACATTTATCTATAAGCAACGGCTTATTTAGAAAGATCATCATAAATAATAAGAGCATGCATTCCATTATCTCTGAAATATTCTCCAATAGCACAACCAGAATATGGTGCTAAATATTAAAGTGGAGCAGCTTCTGAGGCTGTGGCTGCAACCACAATTGTATATTTCATAGCACCAGCTTATGTAAGAATTTTGACTAAGTTAGCAACAGTTGATCTCTTTTAACCAATAGCAACGTAAATGCAATATAATTATTTATTCTTGTCACCAGAATCAAAATTTGGTTTTTAATTGATAATTGTATCAATAGCAATAGCAGTCTTTCCTGTTTATCTATCACCAATAATCAATTCTCTTTATCCTCTTCCAATAGGAACTAAACAATCAACAGCCTTTAATCCTGTTTACATTGGTTCATGGACACTCTTTCTTGGAATAATTCCTGGTGCTTTTAATTCAACTCTTCTTCTTGCATTTGTTTTGACTGGACCATGTCCATCAATTGGATTACCAAGAGCATCAAATACTCTTCCCAACATTTCCATTCCAATAGGGACATCGACAATAGCTCCTGTTCTTTTGACAATATCTCCTTCTTAGATATCTCTAGAATAAATGAATTAAAATGAATTACCTGTCATTACCCAACACGACAATACCCACATTATCTGTTTCCAAATTCAAGGCCATACCTCTTACTCCTGAACTGAATTCAACCATTTCTCCTGCTTAAACTTATGTCAATCCAAAAACTCTAGCAATACCATCACCAATAGAGATAACTGTACCATATTCTTTGATGTCATTCTAATTTATCACTATAATCCTTTACCAATTAGGAAATATTTTTAATTTTATCTTCTAATACACTGGATGCTTCTCCAATACCCAATTTCTTTGAGAATCCCATTGATGGTAAATACCAAAGTGATTTTCTCAATACGGATGTATATCCTCGTATCATAATTAATTTATTTAAATTAAATCTTCAAATCAGAACATAAATACTTAATATAATAACAACCTTTCTAATTGTCATTTACTCCTATTTCATAACCAAAAACCTTTAAATTAATTTATCAATTCCTATTCTATCTTAACTCAATCTTACCACTCGAAATTAACTAATTAGCTTTTAATAACTCCAAAAAAAATAATTATACTATATAAATGTACTATTACTAATGATAAACTTCATACTCTAAGATTTTATATTAATTAATAATTATAAATCAAGAATATTATTCAAAATAGTATCATAAATATAAGAATAATTATATAGATTTATGTATTCATAAATTATTATTTGATAATTTCTCTCTATCATCTTATTATAATATGAGATTCCTATATATTTTAACATCCTTCTTTTATAGTTTTAAAAAATGATATTTATAAAATCTAANTATTTCATAGCACCAGCTTATGTAAGAATTTTGACTAAGTTAGCAACAGTTGATCTCTTTTAACCAATAGCAACGTAAATGCAATATAATTATTTATTCTTGTCACCAGAATCAAAATTTGGTTTTTAATTGATAATTGTATCAATAGCAATAGCAGTCTTTCCTGTTTATCTATCACCAATAATCAATTCTCTTTATCCTCTTCCAATAGGAACTAAACAATCAACAGCCTTTAATCCTGTTTACATTGGTTCATGGACACTCTTTCTTGGAATAATTCCTGGTGCTTTTAATTCAACTCTTCTTCTTGCATTTGTTTTAACTGGACCATGTCCATCAATTGGATTACCAAGAGCATCAAATACTCTACCCAACATTTCCATACCAATTGGGACATCGACAATAGCTCCTGTTCTTTTGACAATATCTCCTTCTTAGATATCTCTAAAATAAATGAATTTAAATTGAATACCTGTCATTACCCAATACGACAATACCAACATTATCAGTTTCTAAATTCAATGCCATACCTCTAACTCCTGAACTGAATTCAACCATTTCTCCTGCTTATACTTATGTCAAACCAAAAACTCTGGCAATACCATCACCAATAGAGATGACTGTACCATATTCTTTAATGTCATTCTAAATTATCACTACATTTCTTTACCAATTAAGAAATATTTTTAATTTTATCTTCTAATACACTTGAGGCTTCTCCGATACCCAATTTCTTTGAGAATCCCATTGATGGTAAGTACCAAAGTGATTTTCTCAATACAGATGTGTACCCTCGTATCATAATTAATTTATTTAAATTAAATCTTCAAATTAAGAGCATAAATAGTGAATATATCAATCTTGCCTCCCTTCTTTCTAATCATAATGCACTAATATCTTTATTTATGGAACCTAAAAGTTCAGATACGCTTAACCTTTCTCTTCTGGACTCAATTCTTCTCCACTCATATTCATAGATTAATATCTCCATCTTGTATATTATTTAGTTAATTCAGAAAACTCATTTAGAGCTACTTTTAAATATTTATATTTATTGTCTGACAAGATGATAGTTCTTTTTTTTGTAGGATTTCTATATTCATTCCTTCTCTCAAAAATTATCTATTTTTCAGATGGAATCTCTTCTTTATCATCTTATCTTTATTCCTATATTATTATATTCTAATTCTCCTAATGATACTGATTCTTTTAAGCCAATTTCTCTTTTAGATTCTATAAAACTTGTAAATCTTTATGGATTGGAAACTATTTTAATTGAATTTTGACCTATTCTATATTCATCATAAATCTTGTATATTTTAAGTAAATATAATCTGCCTAGTTATCATATCAAATTAATACAATTAATTATTTCTCTTCTTTTCTATTCTCATAAAAACTGAAATTCTTTCTTGGCTTTGAGGCTATCAAATACTATTATTCAAATAATTCTTCATCCATAACTGAAATCTTATTGTTTCTATATTGATGACATATTCGATAGAGTAGGAAACTCATAAATACTGTTCTTACAGTCTTTGACCAATGTAGAAATAATTCAAAACATATTGGTTCAAATAATAAATCAATTATTGCTTTTCTGAATTCTATTGGGAATTTCAAAAAATTTGTATAAATTAATTCCAGAACAGTAGCAATTGCTATTGCATGTTCTGATTATGCTAATACAATTCTTATCCCATTTAAAAAGAATGGGTAATCAAAAACTGTTAATGTTTATGGACATTAATTTATTATTAAACTTAATAAATCAAAAACCTATATAACTTAATCAGATTAATATAAACTAATAATAAATAATAGATCTTACTTTGTTTTATTAAATAATATCATTACAATAATATTGATGATATTAGTATTTCTAGAAATAGCCATAACACAATCAAAAAATGATGCTGTGTATGATTCTTTTAATTTTAATTCACTAAGAAAGGATTTCAATAACTATTTATACCCTGGTACATGTTGCCATTGAATATTGTTCTTTTACAAAATTTATTAGATGTAAGTACAATAATCCATTATAAAATATTGATAAATTAAACTCCTTTTCCCTAAAGTTAATTTCCATTATTCATCATACATGCTTTAACTTAATTAATATTATTGATTTTAAGTGACATAATTATAAAAGTATGTCTACCAATCAAATATCATAGCTACTTATTCATTTATAAACACATCTTATTCTTCTAATTAAAATTCATTACCTCTCCATTCTACTAATTAAGGATCATTAGGTTTATTAATACATTTTAATAATTAATCCTTAAAGTTATATATTCTTATAAATGATAAAACCAAGAATCTCATCATGAATTTTCTCTCATTTTACTATGAAGTTTTTATTGGAACCTTAAGGAGTACCCAATTTAATGTTTAAAGCATAAATTCTGAATAATGAAGATTAACTGTATTCTTTAGTTCCAATTATTTTTTTGATAATTACTTACATTCTTCAAAATATCCTAATGAATGCAATCTAAATTCTCCTCTATCAATTATAACTAATAAAATTTCATAACAAACTTCTCTTAGATTTTCATCTAATTTATCTATATATTTTGTTATTTATTCTGCTATCTTTATAAAATATTCCTAAGCTTTAAATAAATCTTCTTAATGTTTATAATAGAATAATTTTGAATTGGTATCTTTGTCAGCTTTTTAAACTTCAATTAATAGTTACTAACTAATTGTCAAGGCTTGATGTTAGAGTATTGTTCTATTTGGATCATTATGACTTAATGATTGCATCTTAAACATAGATTCATATAACTTTTAAAAGATATTTGTTATTTCTGCAATCTAAGCAACTGATTTAGAACTACAAATATTGACACCTAATGTACATCCATTCTCAGTTCTAATACCTACTAATTTTTATTTAAGAAACCTGGGTAGTTTTACATTGAATTTACATTATATTGTACCAACTTTATTGCCTTTACACCATAAACTTTTAGTAACAGTAGTTTTGAATTGCTAATACATTTAGAAGTCTTCTTCATCATCCTCTTAAATTAGTTTATGTAAGGCAATAAAGGTCTCAGCAAAAAGGTTCTAATCAATAAATACCTCTTTTTCACATTTTTCTTTGAGTGATTTAATTGAACAAATTCCAGGTGATTGAAATTCGTTTCCTTTATTGATACTCCAAATGCAAACTTACAATGAACTATTATACATTTCATTTGATGGTAATTCTATACTGAAAATAGGTAATTCAGATGAACTATTCCAAGTAGTTCTAAACATCATTTCCTATAGAAAATTGTTAAGAGATGAATTAAACCCTCTCAAATATGCAGGATTATAAAAACTTTCAGAATTTGGGGATGTAAAGTACATTTTCCTTGTAACCAATCTTAAATTAAAGACATAAGCTTTGTCTTTTATACTCTCAACATAACTGCAATCAATTTCAATAGGATTAATATCAATCTATAATATTTAAGCCATTTACATATCAAATGATAACCTACCTTTTCCAATTGAATAATCAAAATGAATAGGCCCACTAATAATATCAAAAATGGGAATCTCTAAAGTTGCAATTACATTCTTCTCTTCTAATAAATAAAATTCCAGTTTCTTCTCATGTAGCTCAAGAATATTAGCTTAAATTTATGTTTCAACTATTTTCTTCCACTAAGGTTAGTTAATTAATTACAGCATGTTTACCATCTAAATCTATATGGTTAGGTGTTTCCATTAGAATTTCACCAGCTAATTTTATACTCAGATGACATGACTTAGTTGGGTATTGGAGACGAAGATTTTCAAATATAATATTAAACTTCATTCGTTCAGGATTCATAAATGAACATCCAGTTCTATGAGGTCCTATAGGTGATTTTGCAAATTGATTATGTTAATGTTAATGATGATGATTTCCACATACTCCTCCCATTATTATTTTTATTATAATAAAAATGTCTTGGTACAAATAATTAGGAAACTCAGTAAAAGAATTAAGATTCGTTTTCTGTTAGACATGTGGCAGATCAGAAGGTATCAGGTATACAAATAAGATCAAATTATAGAAATCTTGTATCTAAAAACTATTGGTAATGGAAAGATGCAAATCCTCATTTTCCATTTGTTGTTAGAGAGTGTGAATCAATTGATCCTTATGTCCTTATTAGATACAGTAAAATTAAGTAAAAAAATATATAGAATATGGTGTTGAAAAGAAGGCTTTGATAGGAAATCTTAATGAATAAGAATTGGAATAAGTGCTTGGAAAATTAGTTGATCAATCTAATAAAGTGAATTCAACTATCTGATTGGCAATTTCATAATCAAATATATAATCAAAATCCAAAATTAAATTAAGCACTTGTTTGCATTATATTTTCTGCTTTTTTTGAGATATCAATTATTCTCTTGCAATCTAATTATATTAATCTAACAAATAGCATTTAAATGTATTTATTATACTCAACTTTAACTTTTTTAAATAAACAGTTTAAGAAGATTTCTCTAAAAATTAATAATATCAATAATAAATATGAAATTTGGTTAAAATAAATTATGTAAACATATTTTTATACATTTTCCTTCTTACTATTATCAAAAGTGGATTTTATCTTAAAATCGTTTAAAAAAAACCAATAATATCATAAACAAGAAAAACATAACAGAAGCTTGTTTTTTATTTAAATTTAGAAATGGCTGATGACAATATTAAAATAAAATATGAGCATTCATTTAAATTTGCTATTCTTAATGTTTATCTAAAAATTTTATTATTTATTCTATCATTTGAAACTATTAGTTGTTAAATTTTGATTAAAAATAATAAGATATTAAATTATAACTGATCTATCTTAGATTTTACTAACTTTATACTAATATTGTTTTTGATATTAATATTGTTTATTACATAATACATAGGAAGATATTAATCATTATATATTTGGTATTTAAATAGAAAATTATCAAATCTATCTAAAAAAGACCCTTAAATTTTATTTTATAATCAGTAAATATTCTATTTTATTTTTAATTGTAAACTTAATGACTTGTGACTTTTGAGGATAATATTTGATACTCTGAAAATTGGAACTCTTTAATAACAAGATTTAAATATTTAAAATTTTCTTCCTAGAATATTTTAAAATATAAGTGTATTCACTTTTAAATTTCTTCATCTTAAAATATAACTTCTTTTGTAACTCTATAAATTTTATAATTATTTTAATTGTTATATATTGAATGATATAATGTAAATAGAATCAACATAATTCATATTTTTTAGTACCAACAACTTTGCCGCAACTTTAACATAAATGAACCCTGTCTTAACAATCTTCTAAACAACAAGGCAGCCAAAATAATGGCCAACATAAAAGTAAAACTAAAATAGATGCACAGATTGTTCCATTTCCTATTCTACTTTAAACTATAGTGGTTCCAACCTATTAACAATATTAACATTTAATAGGAATTGGAAATGGCATTCCTTCAGCACTAGGATAGATTGGGGTTTAAACTTAAATTGGCCCATTGATGATATAAGGCTATTATCTATATATTATTCAAATAGATATTTATATATACGCCTAATTTCCAAATTATTATTATGTTTTATAGGGATCACTTACTATTATGTTATTATCTATATAGGGCTATTAAGGAGGTGGGTATTAATTTGGATATTATTCAGGGTATGATGGATAGGCAATATTTTATGATTATTAGTTGTTTATTTTATTATATTGCATTTTAAATTAAATAATATAATTTTGAATTAAGAACTTTAATTTGGTAAAAGATGTATAAGATATTTAACATCTTTAATGTTATTATTGAGAGAATATTCATCATGATGACAATAATAATAATGATATTATTTATATTAATCATTTTTTAATACTATTTTGTAGTAACATTTCAAGATTGTCATTTTGTTCAACTAAGTTTTGCATTCTAATAAATATAAATAGATATTTACTCTTCTTCTAATAATGCTATTTGATTCTCTCTTTCAATTTATTATTAAACAACTGTGTTTAAATAATCATTTTCCTCTATTAAGGATTTAATCTTTTCTTCTAGTGCTTCTACTTATTCTCCTTATGGTTCTAAGAATTTATCTGCTTATTGAAGCTTTTATTATAACTATTCATATTTGGTTTTCCAATTTTTCACTTCTTTTTAACTTTATTAAGTCTATTATATTAATTAAATTATACCATTGAAATAAGTTTATTCTTTTCATTTGTTAATTATTATAATTACTCTTTTTTTGGATTACTATCCTATTATGCTATTAAGGAATTTAATCTTTCATTTTCAGCTATTAAACCATGAACTTTTTCTTCTAAATCAGTAACTAAATATTGAATTTATTATTCTTCAGCTTAATTCTTTTCTTAATATTATTATTCTAAATCTTTGTATTTTTTCATTTATTCAGATAATTGCTTTTAAGCTTCATTTATTTATTTTTATAAGAAATCTAATTGTTGACTATTATATGAAATCTACTTATTAAGTTCTTATATTTCCCCTTAAGGTTAATCTTAAGCCTTTTATAATAATCTAAAAATATCTAAAATAATAAATACTCCATATTAAGATTTTATAGTTAATCATTTTGTTAAATAAGAGTTTTAATTTTATTTTCCATTTCATTCAAAAATTAAGTATTATAAGTTTTTTTTTCTTATTCTAATTTTTTTAATTTTGCAGTTAACAATTAATGTCTTTCTTTTTCTTTAGCTAATTCTTCAACAATTTGTTATGCATTAGTAGGTTAAGATAGAGCAGGACCCATTCCAGAACCTCCAACTTTTTAAATTTAAGGAGACTTATTTTATTGTAATTATTGTTATTATAATTTTGCTAAATTTGTTGTTTCATTAAGTAATTGACTCTTTGGCATAGGAGAATACATTAATTATTGATTAATTTGTTCTGGAACTTACTTTTAATCTAAACTTTAAATAATATTATTACTCATGAATTTCATTTAATCCTTCATTGGTGTGGCTTATCTTTAAGAATAATCATTTTAAGTCTTATTAATACCTCCATTACTTATATATTAACTAGTTTTTGTTGCTTATTGATTTCTAAGAAATTATTTGAATAAAATACTGAATGTTAGTTAAAGGAACTGCATTTCTATTTTAGGCTTAGACAGGATCAGCTGATTGCATTCTTCCTGGTATACCAGGTTATTTTTATTAAAGTAATTATTATTGGTTTTATGAGTAAGTAGATATCTATCTTTCATTACCAGTCACTTTTTAAGGTTAAGTATATTTATTTTCTTCTTGATTTTCATTTGCTTTATTTTAATTAGTTTATTGTTATTATTATTATTATTATTATTATTACTATTTATAGAATAATTGATTAAATTCTTTGGCTGTGAATTAAACATTCTACCTTGGATCAGTCTTTTATTGTTATAATTATTATTATTATGACTGTTAATGTTATTATTATTATAATGACTGTTAATGTTATTATTATTATTGCATATTTGGATATTATTATTTTTAAGAATAGTTCTAGTAATTTTATGTTTACTATTATTAATGCTACTAAGGTTATTGATAGTTTTTAGAGTCCTATGATTATGGAATCATTTATCTGCCATAATATTATTGTTATCCAAAGGTTTCTTGAAAGCAACCTTAATTAGGTATTTATTTTTGTTATTTTGGTGGCATTTATGAATATTTTGGTTATGTATATCCATTAACATCATAGTTGATTGGCTGATTTTGAAATTTAATCATTAACGATATTTATTTATTATTAATTATTTTTATGCTATCATATTGTATAATAATATATATTTATGTAATAAAGAAAAAGATTTATTGAATGGTAACTAACTATATAAATTTTTATATATATATAAAAGAAGAGTTTTGATCATTAGAAAATATATGACTTTAAATGATGTATTATTTGATTTATAATTATCAATAAACCATAGGTAAATATTTGTAAACCCTTTCAATAATGGCTGGAATATCTGCTCCTTAAACTTCATCAACTAATCTACCTTCTTAATAAAAGACAAACCTGGGTTTACTGGTTGGCTCTCTGTCTAAAAAGAGTATTTGAATTATTATTTACTAAATTTATCATGTTTGTATGTGACTATTTTACTATAACCTAATGTGTAAATATCCACTCTTTTTTCAAAGTCATCAATACTTGTCTATAATGTTTTATAAGTTGGATTCATCATTTCACATGGACCACACCAATCAGGGTGAACATCAAGTAAAACCAACTTTTTATTTTCAGAACTGATTAAATTAAGAAACTATTCTTCATCTTTAATGACACTCACAACTTATTGTTATTTAGGAGGCATATAATAATAAATATATTATTTTTAATATTAATTTAAGTTACATTAATGTATTTTTTATTAATTTTGTATTTCACACTTTTTCACAAACAATAATAAATTTTGAACCTTTATTTCTTTCTACCTTCTGTCCTTCTTCAGTAGAATTCCAAATTAGTTTTGCAGCAGAATCTTATTCAACATCTTATACACGTTTAAACTTAATATAATTCTTTCATAAATACCATCTTATGTTTTTCAAGATGTTAGACATGCCAATTATGTAATTCCTCTACATCAGTTATACAATAGATTCTTCCATTAGATTTCAATAGATAAGCATATTCACTAAGTAATCCTGGATTAACAATTCTTCTCCTATAATTTTTCTTTTTGAAATGTGGATCAGGAAAACAAATAAAGATTTTTTCTAAACTATTTTTCCTAAAATATTAAGGCAAATGTCTCATCGTATTTGTACGAATTACTGAAACATTATGAGCTTAACCTTCATTTCTCAAAGCTCTTATTTTTTCCCCCACAAAATTAACGACTTTGCCTCTGATTTCCATACCAAAAGTATATTTATCTGGATAATTTTCACCCAAGGCAAAGCATAAACCTCCAAATCCACAACCACTTATTTATTATTGTATAGTAAATTTACATATCAAGAAAATCAACAATAGATTATGAGCATTCAGAATTTACTTAATCATCATATGTAATAGGATATTCTAAAGTATTGAGATATAACTTTAAGGGATCTTTTCCAAACTTTTTAGGATAGTGCAATGACCAATCAACTTAATTATAATTGAGAGGATAAGGAAATAAGGTTTCATTTAATGGATTTACATGAGCATGCATTCTAAAATCTGCCTTCTTTGGCTTTTAGATTTTCACTTTTTTTTCTATTTGTTCAATCTAATTATTATCTTTATTATTTTCTGGTTTCGTGTTCATAATAATTTATTAATTAAGAATTAATGAAAATGTCTTATATATAATAAATTTATAATATGAAAATGAATAATTTAGATATATCATTGCAATCAGAATTTTAAGAATTTAGAAAATAACTATAGTAATCAGAAAAAATTATAAGCAACCCCGAATCTTCATCATATTATTATAAGCATTAAGGAGAATCATATCATTCTTCTATTAATTATAATAAGCAGAATTACAATCACTTTAATAATTTAGTTCAGTTTACTCTAAGAATAACAATTATCTGCTGAAATATTAGACACATCTTAATTTCAAACTGAATAGTATTAAATGTAAGTTTCCAAGATATTATTTAATTAATTTTCACAACCAATATCAAAAACTAAACAACACTCTTAAAATTATCATTTTCAGAAGCTACATACTCGTAAATCTATTTACAATACTCAACATTGTTTTCATATAGTCATAGCTAAGCAGTTATCACTAATTATAAAAGATGAAATAAAAGAATTATTCAGCGTCTATTTTTGTTAATTTAATAATAATTTTCTAATTTACAATACTTAATTAATGAAGTTGAATAAATAAACTAAGGAGATGCTAGTACTTAAATACTTAAGAAGATTTAATTATTTAATTTTCTCTAGTTTATTTCTTTGATTTTAGAAAAATAACTATTATACTCATAAAACCTTATGCCTCTTTTGAAAATAATTATAATTCTATCTAAAATTATCTAGTTAAAAACCGAGGAAAATCTAGTTTCATCTATTATTTATTCTTCCATAAAATCCTTAACTTAATGCTATAAAGCTCTTAGGAAATCTTATAAAACACAAAATAAAAACTAGAGAATAATATTTAAAATTTAGAAAAATAACAAAATTCATTAGAAATTTTATGATTTTTTTGGAGATTATCTTTAAAAATTGATACTTTATCAATAACATAACAGAGTTACTAAGAAAGCTTGAAGTTTACTTAATGATTAAATTATATATATAATAATTCCATAAGTTAATAAAAAATGCTATTATTCTTTTTTTTATTGAGCTGTTCGAGAAAAAGAATTAATCTGTTCAAAGATATAGTGGAAGATAAAGAACAATTAACTCAAGCATAATAAGTTGCCTTAAGCATTTCAGAGAAGATGACAACAACAAAGTGGATAACCTATTTATTTGAGAATTATAACTCATAAATATCTGTATTAAATAAAGCTTGCTTATTTACTAAAGTAATATTATTTTCTTAAGTAAAAATCAAAAATGTTTAATGGATATACTTTAATTGTTATAATAACAATATCAATATGAATTAATTATTTTTAGTATTGATTGTTTTGACAGTATTCTCAATGCTTATAGATTATATTTTCATTATTGTTATGTTGAGTCTAATCATAGTTATTTATGCTATACTCTCAATCTAGTTTGGTATAGCTGAATGATAATCATTTAATTGATGTACATAATCTATATACTGAATATAAACTTCACAGAATAGATTAGTAAAGACAAAGATTTTGTATAATTTAATTCCTTTAAAATTCTAATAACTAAAAGAATAAGATGAAAGTTTACATGAAGATTATTCAATATGTTTATCTATCTATTAAATAGATGATAATTGAATCAAATTATCTGACAATTTAGATAAAGGTAATAGGAGAATTAATCATGTTTTTGATGATACTTTGCATTTTGAGTTTGGATTCAAAAATGTGAATATTATCCAATCAATAGAACTGTTTTCATTGAGAGATATGAATAATCATAATTTTAGATTATTATATTTATTGATACTCTTTAATTAATTAATATTTTTATATAGCAGTTAAAGCCTTATGTCCTTAAATACTTCTATGCCCTATTATCGTAATTCTTCGAGAGAAGTCAAAGCTATTAGAGAAATTGTGTAAGCTGAAGCAATCAAAAGTGCCAGATTGTTAAGCAGAGACAAAGTCAAAGTTAAACAAAATACATCTATTGGTGATTGTAATATCTATATGCTATATAATTAGTGAATAGAAGTAAAGGAAAAGCTAATAATTCGTTTTATGACAATAGAAATAATTCTTAGATTGAAAATTCATATAATTTATCTGGTTATTTAGCCAATGCTTTTTAGGAAAGAAAGGAAAATATTCAAAGGATTTAGATGTAGGATATTACAAATAAGAATAAATTTGATGAAAACAAACAAAGAGAGATTAAATATCTTATGAGGATTGCAGCATTAGAGAAAGAATCATCAAAACTAACTGAATTAGCAACTAAATTGAAGAAAGAGAATTAATTATTGAGATAATAAAATAATCAAAATAATCAAGATTTGATAATTTATCAATTATAAGAGGCTCTTAATGTATCTAAGAATGAGAATTTAGCTCTTAAAAAATAAATTACATAACTATAAAACTCAAATACAACATGCTTTAATAATAGTGTATATCGAATCTAAAAACATTAAACTCAAAATACAAATTATACAGTCAATACTACTAATAATCTATCTTAGGATAATATCAAATTTAAAGAACTTATACCTAGTTATTTAGTTGCTCTAAGCTTAGCTGGATGAATTTGTATTATTAAATACATACTTTTGTGAATAAATGAATATATAATTTATTATTCTTAATGATATAATTATTTATCATATTAGCACTTGCTTTTTCTAAGCCTCTCAACCCTAAAAAAGTCTTGTATGCTATAAATTGTGGTGCTCCATCAAACTATAAAAGTCCTTCAGGAATTTAATATGAAAAAGTATTATATCTTAAATATTATTTCTAAGGATATTCAAACAGATCCTGAAACTGTAGTAGCTGATTACAGTTTGAATTCAGAAGTTTCTAGTTAACAAATCAAATATACAAGAGAGCCTGAAATCTATTTAACAGAAAGACATGCCTACAAAACATTTTCATATCAAATTCCTTTGTAAAAAGAAGGTACTTACACTCTAATTCTTAAATTTGCAGAAGTATTCAAATAAATAATAAATCAAAGATGTACTTTGATACAAAAGGAAAGAGAGTTTTCCATGTTAAATTTGGATCATAAAGAGTCATTGAAAAACTTGATATTGTGGCTAAGGTTGGAAAATATGCTTCAAATGATGAATATATAGAATTTGAATATATAGCTGGTCAAGTATTTCATAATGTAAACTTACATTTATATAAAATAGAATGTTTTATGTGTGGATGCAGTTTAAGATGGTAAATTATAAGTGAATCTTGAAAAAACTAAATTTGATAATCCATATATTCATGGAATAGTTTTGTATGCAGGTGGAATCGTTGAAACAGATTATGAAGAATATTAATATATGAAAGAAAATTGGGATAAAGTTATAAATGAAGAAAAGATTAAGGAAGAATATGAGAGATAGAAAAAATCTGAAGCTAAAGTTAAAAGAAAAGAAAGAGTCAAAATTAGAAATGATCACTTAAATGTAGTAGAAAATGAATTTGAATTTGATGATTAATCATTAAGCACTTCTGTTCCAGTTGCTAAAAAAGTTGGTTTAAAAGCCCTCATTACTAGTCCTTTTGGTACTGCAGGTTTATTCATTTCTTTTTTTATTGGTATGTCTATTCTTAATAAAATAATATCTACTATTTCCAATGTATTTTATAAATTATATCAATTAGGCTAAAATTAAAGGTATTGAAAAAGATATTACTGAATCAAAACCTAAGCAAGAAAAACAAGTAAAAGAGAAAAATGATACAAGTGACAAAAAGAATAAAACAAAAGAGACAAAAGATAAATCTAAAGCAAAATAATAGTGATGATGAGTTATATTTGTTCAATATTATATGGTTAAATAAATTNAAATACATACTTTTGTGAATAAATGAATATATAATTTATTATTCTTAATGATATAATTATTTATCATATTAGCACTTGCTTTTTCTAAGCCTCTCAACCCTAAAAAAGTCTTGTATGCTATAAATTGTGGTGCTCCATCAAACTATAAAAGTCCTTCAGGAATTTAATATGAAAAAGTATTATATCTTAAATATTATTTCTAAGGATATTCAAACAGATCCTGAAACTGTAGTAGCTGATTACAGTTTGAATTCAGAAGTTTCTAGTTAACAAATCAAATATACAAGAGAGCCTGAAATCTATTTAACAGAAAGACATGCCTACAAAACATTTTCATATCAAATTCCTTTGTAAAAAGAAGGTACTTACACTCTAATTCTTAAATTTGCAGAAGTATTCAAATAAATAATAAATCAAAGATGTACTTTGATACAAAAGGAAAGAGAGTTTTCCATGTTAAATTTGGATCATAAAGAGTCATTGAAAAACTTGATATTGTGGCTAAGGTTGGAAAATATGCTTCAAATGATGAATATATAGAATTTGAATATATAGCTGGTCAAGTATTTCATAATGTAAACTTACATTTATATAAAATAGAATGTTTTATGTGTGGATGCAGTTTAAGATGGTAAATTATAAGTGAATCTTGAAAAAACTAAATTTGATAATCCATATATTCATGGAATAGTTTTGTATGCAGGTGGAATCGTTGAAACAGATTATGAAGAATATTAATATATGAAAGAAAATTGGGATAAAGTTATAAATGAAGAAAAGATTAAGGAAGAATATGAGAGATAGAAAAAATCTGAAGCTAAAGTTAAAAGAAAAGAAAGAGTCAAAATTAGAAATGATCACTTAAATGTAGTAGAAAATGAATTTGAATTTGATGATTAATCATTAAGCACTTCTGTTCCAGTTGCTAAAAAAGTTGGTTTAAAAGCCCTCATTACTAGTCCTTTTGGTACTGCAGGTTTATTCATTTCTTTTTTTATTGGTATGTCTATTCTTAATAAAATAATATCTACTATTTCCAATGTATTTTATAAATTATATCAATTAGGCTAAAATTAAAGGTATTGAAAAAGATATTACTGAATCAAAACCTAAGCAAGAAAAACAAGTAAAAGAGAAAAATGATACAAGTGACAAAAAGAATAAAACAAAAGAGACAAAAGATAAATCTAAAGCAAAATAATAGTGATGATGAGTTATATTTGTTCAATATTATATGGTTAAATAAATTTTATTAAAAAGCATTTCTATAATATTTAAACTACATTTTATTATTATCAATATCAATGCTCATATTTATTGTTTACTTTCTTAATATTAAGGATTGATCTATATTAAATAAAATATGTTGGAATAATAAACATTAATATTAATGTATAGCAATATAGTTTATCAAATAAATATTAAATTTGAAGAAAGTAAGAAATTCTATTTGAATAAAGGATAGTTTCTTATGCAATCACTAAAAATGATATTAAAAAAATATTGAGAAACTTCTTAATCAAATTAATATACATATTGTTATGATTAGCAATGGTCATGATAATTATGAGGATAATATTTCAAAAAGAATTAATTATAAACTAATATAAAATGACAAATCGTTTTTTATTTTATAGATATATCAAAAAAAGAAGTTATAATATATAACTTTAAATTATATGATAAATAGATTTCAAAAAAATCTACTAACTATCTAGGATTCAATATATATTCATATAAATAAATATCTAATCTTTGATAAAATAAGAATTCAAATATAAAAGATTTTCTCTTTTTATAAGATATCTTTAGTTGCCAGAATATAGTGAGATTAGATATCTACAATTAATTTAAATAGAAATATATAATATATAGGTAATAGTAAGTCTAATCAAGTCTATAAGTCTAGAGAATTATTTAAAGTTATTTCTTAACACTCTCAATTATCTTTCATTTCTTTAATTTCAATAAAAGAGATCTAGTATTTATGTATGATATAGCAGACATAAACTAGATTAGCATCAAGAAAATCAAATTAAAATTAGTGATCAAGAAGATCAATTATATAATCAAATCAAAGCTATTAATTTCATCTTTAATTATTTATGTAATACTGGGTTTAATTGAATTGCTTATTTCTTATATTATATAATATCAAAAAGCTATCATTTGAAAAAAAAGTGATTAATAAATTATATTGAATAATGTGAAAGAATATTGGGTATGTATTATTATTTGAAGACTTTAATATATATAAAAATATATAGATTGTTATTTATCTAGAGATATGTGTGGATAAAGAAAATATGAATTACTTTTAGCCAATAATTTATATCAATGTTTAAGTGTGTTTGATTAATTATATCAAAAATCAGGAACTGCAGGATTTGTTTATTCTTCATCCCATAAGAAACCTTCATCTCCTTAGAATTAGTTATATTCCTGACAATAATTTTCATCTTCTTCGAATTAAAGATATTTTACATAATCTTCTTCATTCTCGAAAATTTATTATTATTAAATCACCTAATTGAAATCCTAGTCTTCATCAGGATCTCTTTGTACTGCTAATTAATCATCTGCTTCGATAATCATATTATCCCATGAACTCTATTCTGGTTGAATTTCTACTTGCTATTCTTATGTTACTGCTGATTCATTTTTAAATTCTTTAATTAGCTGGTTTAGATAACCCATTTTTTTATCAAGTATTCTCATAATGTCTATAGATTATGGTAATTTTCTATTCATATATAGATATTTTTACTTAAAAACACTATGATATTATTCAAGTGTTCTTTTGGGAAGTCCAACTATATCCGCTGCCTCTTTTAAAGTTGGTTTTATATAATTTCCTACTTCATCTTAATAACCATTTTCAAATAAATCTCTCCACTTCTGAACTGCATTTAAAGCCTCCCAAACATACCTTTCTCGTTTGGTTCTTCTAATTTCCGATTTTTCAGATTGTGTTTCAATATTCATTCTAATAAATATATAATTATTATGAGAATTATTTATTTTTGCCTTATAAGTTGAAAAAATGTAAAAATATTATTAGAAAAACAAATAGAATCATTAATATATACTAATTTATCAAACATATTTTAATTATTAGATATATAATAAAAAGTACTTGATTCTTAAGTATTTTTTTATTTGAAAAGATGAATGGAATCAAATTTAAGTAGAGATGGAGTCTTTCATTAAAGATTAGATAGATAAGAAATAAGATGAAGAAATTTTAAATTTTAACTCTTAAATAGGCGCCTTTTAAATTAGCTTTTGTATTTCTCACAAGTAAAACTTAATAATGATGAGAGATGATATACTTTTTAACATATATACATTGAATTAGGGTTTTTTAGATTGTTATCTGAAGGGGGAAAGAGTTAATTTACAAATCTTATTTTATTTATATTAATTTGATGTAATTTGCTTGGACTGATGCTGAAGTAGAAAACAACAATAAATGGAATTATGATGATGATAGACGATTAGAAGAAGCTTTTAAGGTATATGGACCATAATGGAAGAAAATAGCAGAATATTTAACAGGGAAAACAGATTAAGAATGCGTTGTAAGATGGACTTAATTAAAGGTAAAACTTAATTATATTTAATTAGAGTGGAAAGAAGACTCCATGGACTAAGGAAGAAGATGATATGTTAAAAGATTTAGTGTAAAAATATGGTGAAAATTGGAATGAAATTGCTTAAATTATGAAAAACAGAACA